CAGCAGCTTCATCAAAAAAAATTAAATTGTAAGAGATGTGGTTAAAAAAAAAAAAGCTTTGCTGAGAAACACTTTACGTGCCATAAAACTCGCCCTCTCTGAACGCGCCCACCCCACAGTCTACACGTCACACGTCTGCACAGGAAGAACGAGACTGGTGAAGAATCTGCGTACACGTTCATCCAAAACCGCCAGGAGCAAGGTCCTTGCGGAGTCAGAACCAGGGCCCGGGAGGCATGTGGAGCCAGGCCAGCGACCGTGAGCTCCGACGTCACAGGCGCGGCTGGAAGGCAAACGCCCACCTGCAGAGGTGCCGCGGCGCACTGTGCCCACACTAAGCTGCCCAGATCGCGGCACCAGGTGCACAAGCCGGCAGGAGAACGGGCGCCAGAGCAACACGCACTGACAGACGCGAAGGCGTGAGAAGTGGCCCAGCCCCCTGAGAACTCCAGCTCACACACTGAAGCGCAGATCTGAAGGCAGAGCGACAAAGACAGTCCCTCTCAACCAGCGGCCAACGGGAGCGGGGCTCGGGAGGGGCCTGGCGGGGAAGCCGCAGGAGGCAGGAAGGACAGGCCGGCTCCACAGCCTCCGCGGGAGTAGGAGACATCCTTCCTCACGCCTCCCCACACGAATGGAAAATAATACACAGTATTTCACAGCAAGGCATCTTTAAATTCCCCTTGAATCTCTAATGTTGGCATTTCCACCCAGTTTCCTGTTGTTGTTCTGGGGGAGGGCAGTCAGGGGGTTATTTATTTATTCCAGAGAACACACTGGGGACTGAACCCAGGACCTCGTGAGTGCTAAGCACGTGCTCTAGCACTTGAGCTACACCCTCCCCACCTTCACCAACTTATTTTTGAATAATTTCCTTAAGAGCTGCAGGAAGCATTTAAAATTTTGCCCCAAAACCTGCTAAAAAAGTAGACCTGGCAAAACTGGCTGAAAATGAATTCAAATTTAAGCAACACCAAGAAAAGACGTCCCACAAACTCCGAACCTGAAAGAAAACCCCTGACACACCTCGAGGGCTGCGCCAGAGCACGGGCTGATGCAAAGCACAGACGCCAATCAGCAAAGGCCCCGGAGCCTCTCTGCCGGCCTTCAGGTCTGGGGTAACTCATCAGACGCGCTGTTCCCCTCATGCAGCGGCGGTCGAAAGCTTTCTCAGTCTGACGCGCAGAACAGTGAAGCCACGGCTCCGCGCCGGCCTGGTTCTTAGCCACAACTGCTCCCCACCCCAGCAGTCGGCCCAGCCTGCGGGGGCCACCTGCCTCGCTGCCCCCGAGGGGACCCAGCTGAAGTGCCCGCACAAGGACGCACCGGACCCCGGACCTGCCGGCGCACGCAAGCCCCTGGCCGGCAACAGCCATCCTGCCCAGCGGGCCACCAACGCGCAGCTCCTGCCACCTAGCCCTGGGAAGCTCGTCGCCCGCTCCCATGAATGCCGCACGGGAAGAAGACATCGTTCTCATGAAAACCAACTAATACAAATAGCAAGAGAAACAAAACACAAGAACCCCAGTCAGATGAGAATGGGGGCTTCACTGAGGCCCGAAGCACTCAGACGGCTCAGGGTCGGGCCCATGGTTCCTGAGGAACCCCCAGGCCTACCTTCTGGGGGCGGTCAGGCTCCAGCACGCTGTCCTGAGAGGTCCTGCCGTCCTCCACGGGGAACACGGCCGGCGGGGCGCCTGGCTCCTCATCCTCATCTAGCTCCTCCGAGTCGTCCTCCTCTGAGTCCATCTCCAGGCTCTCCCCGTTCACGTGGAGGGCGCCATCGCCCAGGTCCTTCTCGCCCTGGAACATGGCGGGGGCGCCCATCAGCAGGACCCCGGCATCGGACACCTGCAAACGTCCATCGGGGGCCGTACAGGTGGGGCTGCCCCAGACCAGAGGCGCTCTAGAGCCAGGGTTCCGTGGAGGGAGGTGGAGGTCACCCCACAGCCTCACACGGTGCCCTTTTGGCTGGGGATGACTCGACAGGAGCACGCGTGTCCAGCAGGCGTGCAGGAGCGCAGCGTCCCCGCCCCCTTACCTTGGCGCCCGCAGTGGAATGAGTTATGCTCTTAAACATCTCAATCACCGTCCTCTGTTTTAACACTTTGGTCTTTTTCTTAGGAACCAGGCTATAGGTTCCCATTCTTCGTTTTTTCTTCCGAGATACTGCAGCTGCTAAAACAAAAGGCAAGCAAGCTAAAAAAAAAAAAAAAGTCAAAAGGGGACAAGAAAGGAAGAGAAATGCCACTCAAATGTTTTTTAAAGGCAGGTGGCAGTTTACAAATCGATCACCAAATCATCAGTGCCCACAACAGTGACAGGCACTTCTTACACATCACAAACCGCACAGGGAAAGCTGAACACACACCACAGGTGACTTGTTCTACTCACGAGGAGACACTGCATGGCAGGGGGGCACATGAGAACCCCTCCCTTGCCAGCAGGCAGAGCCACACTGGGACACTCAGGACCGACTCAGAAGCAGGGCCCGGGACACCCAGCCCACCTCGGAGCAGGGCTCCCCCAGCAGCTGAGACGGAAGGGCCTCCTCCAGGCACTGGGTGGGCTGAGCTCGCCCTCCAGGACTTACGTCTCTAGACATGTCCACCGACACACGGCCACCAAAGAGTGACTTCACACCATCGTCACCTGGACCCTTCCTCCTCACTCAGTACCGCACACTGAGATGCGGCCCAGCCAACTGTCCGGGCGCAGGGGGCAGGGAAGGGAGAGGAGCGGAGGAAAGAGTGTCCAGGGGTCTGAGAGCAGGGCTTCTGGACAAGCAGCAGTGAGACCCAGTGGGGATCTGGGGGCTTGTGGCCCTGACACCATCCTAGGCAAAGCAGTTCCAGGCTGGCTGCTTTTACAGAATGAGGGTCTCTGCAATATTTTATGTTTAAAACAAGTTCCAGGGTTAAAAACATCTGAAGACCATTGCTTTTAACATGGAAGGACTCCACTAAAGGGCTGACAGAAATACCCTACGTTTCGGTTCCACGAAATGCAGAGAAAGGATGCTGGGAGAAACGGCCGAGTGGGCTGTCCGCAGAGGATGCCAGGGGACGGGGGGTGGCAGGGGCAGGACACGGAGGACGGTTGCCGAAGGCCTGTGGGTGCTCCCACGGGGTGGGGAGGGAGCTCTGCGAACTCCAGGCAGACCCTGCGTCTGGTGACCAGGTGCAAGGAGGGGCCACACCGGCCCTGAGCCAGGGAGCCTGACCCCAGCCTGCGAGTGAGGAAAGAAGGCAGAGCCAGGGGCGGGGCTGTGAACACACCGACCACTGTTTCCAAAACTCGTGTTGAAAAACGAGGAATGAATAAAGCTAAAATAGGAACAATCTTAACATTCTAAGAGAAATACCGACTTTGGATACCACTGATTCCACAGAGGCCTACAGCTCCGTCCAGCTTGAATTCTTTGAAACAAACAACACTGTGTCAAAATGGCCTAAAAGCTGGGGCGCAGGGGGACACGCCGGTCTTGTCCTCCGACTGCTGTGCTCCGTAAACAGCATGAGGGCTCCCTGGATGAGGAAGGGCAAGTAGGGCCAGGACCCCGGCGGAGCATGAAAGTCCCTGCAAGACCACGTGGTCCCGTCAGAGGAACCAGCCCGAAGCGAAGCTGGGATGACCTGATCGTGACGGCCTGGGGCCCAGAGACTCACGTGAGGCTCCAGGAGCAACAGAGAAATGAACAGCGGGTGCGGGGCTGGAGGGGTGCGGGCTTGCTACCAGACAAGCAAAGAGGGGACGACACAGCCGGAGACCCACCGGGGTCAGTCATCAGACTGGGTGGGCATCCTAAGGCGCCAGAGCCACCCAGTGGGACGAGAGAAGCAGGAAGTGAGGCCCTCAAGTCCTGCCTCCCGAGACACATGGTGACAAACAGGGGCTGCAGGCAGCGGCCCCGGCCCGCCCCAGGAAGGCTGAGGACACCCCCCCACCCCCGGGGATGGTCCCCGCCCTAAGCCTGGCCCAGGAAAACAGCAGCAAACCAGCATACAGACACTCCAGACTAACAGAGGCCAACGAGACACCAAGGACACAGGAGGCTGGACCAGAAGTGCCTCCCTGAGCCATGAGGGACATCGAAAGAGCTGCAGGCAAACGCTGAGGGAGGCGCGAAGCCCAGAACCCCAACTCCGACAGCCACACCGTGGTCACCTCAGAGGATCCCACGACCCTGTTACTTCAGGGAACACTGGAGTACTGAGAGGTCCAAGGGCCCAGTGTCTGCAGGTGACACTCGTGTTTCAGAAGAAAAGCTCGATACCCTGGCTGGGAGGACACACAACTGTGCATGTGGAAAAACGGGGGAGGCCCAGAGGGATCCCCTGCAGAATTTCTGCAACTGTTAGGGAAATCGGAAATTACTTACAAATAAGCATTTTGGACATCCTGAAGAAGACATGGACCCATTACCAAAACCCTCCCCAGTCCAGCCTCTCAGTGCACATCCCCCAGCATGCCCCGCACAGGCTGACCCCCTCGCGCCCGTGGGTCCTTGCCCGGCACGCGGGAGGGCCTGGTGGAAGTGGGTTCTGTAGGCATGCCCAGCGCAGCGTCCTCCCTGTGGGGTCGCTCACACAGCCCCCACCTCCCGCAGAAGGCCAAGCGGGGAATCAGTTCATCCTCCCCCAACTGACCACAGGAGCAGCACCCCCGGGAAGGGCTGGGACAGAGGGAGCCCAGCCCAACCCCCGGCAGCGCTGGATGGACCACCTGGGAGGCTTCTCCAGCCCAGGCCTCTACGCAACCAGCCCGTGGCAGTTAAGACCTGAGGACTGAGAACAGCCTCCATCTGAGCTGAAAACCAGCAGAGAAGGCCTGAGGCTGTGGGGCCAGGTCCGGGAGGGTGCGGCTGCCGTCCGGGGCACAGGCACCAACAGTCGCACGACTCAGCCTGGTGAGCTAGGGGCCCAGGACACCCCCACCCTGAGCAACAGTGTCGGACCCTTACCTGTCTGTGACTTCGTGGTGGCCACGTAGCACTGGTTCTGAGGTAGTGACTGGTGAAGGGGCAGGGAAGGGGGGTAAAAGCTGCTGCCGACCAAACTCAGGGGCGTTTCTGCCCGTCTCCTCTCTCAGCTCCTCCGGGTCTCGGGCATCTCGACTGTCCCTGGGATCCTTGGCAGCCGCATGCTTCAAAACACAGACAAGGAACACTGACCGTGACGCCCAGGCAGGAGGCACCAAAGCTGCGTGCCTCAGCACCCAGTCCCTCTCCCCAGAGCCTCCCGGAGGATGGGCTGCGGGGGAAGGCCCAGGCCAGAAGCGTGGTGACGCAGCCCGCGGGGGTTGCGTTTGGACAGGGAGGCGGCGGCAGTGACTGTGTGGCTCACTGAATCTGAAGCATCTCCTACCTGGTCCGGTACAAAAAGCCCACCAGCCGTGGATGTAGGTGATGAAATGTAGCTAAGTTTAAAAATACGCAGAAAGGGAGCGCCAAGCCCTCAGCAGGCGTCTCCAGGTGGTCAGGACCACACCCTGCAACAGCTCCACACGCTTTTCGCTTTTTGCTTTTTGCTTTCCCTCCCTCCACAGTAACCACATAGCTTCTGAGACCGCCTCCTGCTCAGTGTACCCACCTCCGAAGTGGCTTTCGCCCGCGCTCCCAGGGCCATGGCTGCCTGCAATTCGATGTCAAACCCCTGCCACCGCCCAAGGGCCTGGCCTTCACTCCTGACAACACTAACCCTCCCTCCATTTGCTTCCCTAAGTTCACTGACAGCCTGGAGACAGCTGGACCTCAAACCCAATTCAATGCAACCAAGCTTTGCACGCACAGATGCACTAAACAGGGAGGAAACAGACACCTTTGTAACACACGGTGCTGGGAAAACTGACAGCCACCTGCGATAGGGCGGAGCTGGACCCTGACCTCACACCACTGGCAGAAATGAGCATGGTGCGGATCAGAGACCAGGAATTATGAAGCTCCTAGAAGAAAACATAGGTGGGGAGTTTCATGACACTGCATTTGGCAATGAATTCTTGGATATTACACCAAAAGCACAGGCAACGAAAGAAAAAGATGAAGTAGATTTATCAAAATTAAAAATTCCTTGCAAATCAAACCCACAATGAGATACTACCTCACACCTGTCAGAATGGCTATTATTAAAAGGATCACAAACAACAAATGCTGGAGAGGATGTGGAGAAAAGGGAACCCTCCTACACTGTTGGTGGGAATATAGTTTGGTGCAGCCACTGGGGAGGTTCCTCAAAAAATTAAAAACAGAATTACTGTATGATCCAGCAATTTCACCCCTGGGTATTTACCTAAAGAAAACTACAACAGTAATTCGAAAAGATACATACACTGCAGCGTTATTTATGACAGCCAAGCAAACTGAGTGCCCATCTATAAATGAATGGATAAAGATGTGGTCCATAAACACAGTGGAATACTACATAGCCATGAAAAGGAATGGAACCTTGCCATCTGTGACAACGTGGATGGACCCAGAGGTACTACACTAAGTGAAATAAATCAGAGAAAAAAAATACCATGATTGCACTTATAAGTAGAATGTTAAAAAAAAATCAAAACAGACTGACAGATACAGAAAATAAATGGGAGGGAGGCCAGACTAAATAGATGACGGGCATTCAGAGGCACAGACCTCCAGTTACACAGTCAGTCAGTCAGTCACAGGGATGTAACGCACAGCATGGGAAACACAAGTCAACAATGTTGCAATAACCTGCATGAGGACTCATCATGGTGACCAGCTTGTAACGTATAAAAACACCAAATCACTGTGCTGTATACCTGAAACTAATATAATACTGAGTCAATTATACTTCAACTGAAAAAATTTTGACTTCTGTGCATCAAAGGACACAATCAACAGAGTAAAAAGGCAGCCCACAAAATGGGATAAAGTCTTTGTAAACCACGTGTCTGCTAAGGAATCAATACCCGGAGCTCAACAAAAAACCCGACAACCTGATCCACAATGGGCAGGGCATCCGAGCAGGC